ACTATAAAAAAAACTATACAGTATACAGAATCGTTCCTGGCATGAAAAATGTAGAGAAAGGTTCATTCTATCATATTAATATAGTTTAATCATAATAAATAGTTGTTTAGAAACAGGAATGTCTAAATTGTGAAAACTGTGCCAACGAGCCCCGGTTTCCCCTATACTATGATGCTATAACGCAATATCTTATTATACAATGTGTTGCAATATAGTATCGTCATGGACTATATTATATGTCATTTGCATACCGATATAATTGTACCACTTACGATTGTACGATAAAGCCTATATACACGCACACGTGGAACACATTTCGTAAGTATTCACCTTGTAATTATTCGTTATCATTTTTTGAACAATTGGAGATTATTATCCTCTCTGTATTATACATACGTGAAAGAGATGTGGTATTTTAGTCTCAAAATCGCATAATAAAATATCATATATGTAAGATATATGTGGGTTTTATTAAAAAGAAATCTTCAATAAGTTAATTTAAAATATTTTATTACTCTATCGTCTCTGATACAACGATACAAAGAATTATAAATTCTTTCAGGCGTTTTATCAAAACTGGTACATAACAGGCGCGCGCTTCGCGCGCGCTGCGTTATTCGTGTGCAAAATTAGTCATGTAGCTTAACTCAGAGAAATCGTATTCATCGACTATGAAACCTTTTTCAAAAAATTTCCGTAATCAACTTGCGGAAATCGAATTCGTTGAGCCTGGACACCTGGTGAGCGAAATTCCCGTAGGTCAACTCGAGGAAGTTCAAATTTTTACACTGCGGAAAATGTTGCAAAAAATGCTCGTAGCACAATTCGGGGAAGTCGAATTCGTCGACTTTGAGCACCTGGTGCAACGTCATATTTGACCCGCCATTTTGACTCGAGGAAGTCAAATCCATCGAATCTGGAACATGTTGCAAAAAATTCCCGTAGCGCAATTCGGGGATGTCGATTTCGTCGATTTTGAACTCCTGGTCCAACGACACATTAAATTCGCGAATTTAAAATTTATTAAAAAAATAAACCAAATCATCGATCCTTAAAAAAAACCTAAAAAAAGTTAATATGTTTAATTTTGAAAAAAAATTTTTTTTAAATGACGTTTTGAACGGCCATTTGGAATCGGTCATTTTTAAATAAAATCACGATTTTAAAAAATAGCATTTTTTAAAAATAGCAAAATTTATCTTTAAGATGAGCCCAGAAAGAAATCGCTATCTTTATTTTTCTGGAAGATATGAATTTTTAAACAGTGGAGAAAAGAGGCTTCAACGCAGGTAACACGGCAATTTTAAGATAGGAGAATGCTACGCCACGTACCAGCAAATATCCCTGTCTGCGTTAAATGTGGCAAGCACGTTATTATGACGTTCTAATTCATCACGATTTAATTATTTAATTCAAAAATCAAATATACTTAAAAGTAATATAAATCGTTCAAAATTCACACGCTAAAATTTTATTCAAAGGATATTTTCTTTTAACATATTCTCGCACTATTTTATTAAAGTTTCCGTTTTTCAATCCTGATTTTTAAAGGCTCTACAGTAGATAATAATATATCTGTCCTTAATTTTATCTTATTTATCTGAACACTTTTATCTACTTAAAATACAAATGTCCGTATCAAAGTAGCTAGGATAACTTTCATAGAAATCATCGCGTATTTTGTACCTGCAAGTTTAGTTATAAGTAAATTTGATTGCAATATTTTGTAATTCATTCATGCTTATCTAAACAATTCTCTGGTCCGTCACTGAAAGAGATATAATTATACAAATAACAATCCTTTATTTTTTCTGGTAGAAATCTATCTGGCTCAAACTTCAATGGATTCGGCACCAGTACTTTTCATTTAGAAATATTCGCATAAATGCTAGAATAACATTAATGTTTTTCGGTAAAGTTATATCTCCTGAAACGTGTATTATTTATATTCAAACATTACTACAAAAAAGAATTTACGTCTTGAATTGTATACATGCTATGACTATTTCTGTCCGGTTTTTTCTGTATTTCTTTTTATACTGAATGAGAATGACTCAAACAAGAGCCAAACGCTTTAAATTATATCTATTTACGCTTTAAATTATATCTATTAATTAATATATATTTTATTTAAAATACACTATTATCCTGTGTCGACTTATATTGATTTCATTTATATTTATTGATCTAAATATTATTACAAAACATTTAACAAGACAAATTTAAGGATACCATTCTAAAATATATATAGATGGTATATAAAAAAAAGTAACAAATAATATCAGGTCGAATCTTTGTAATAATTTCAAATACAATGCACAAGTTATCAACTACATTTTCCAACAAAAATTACCTTCTTGTGGTGACGGTGGGCAACATATTGAATACGATTAAAATTCTCAGAAAAAATGTTATGGCGAATTATGAGCTTCGAAGTATCTTGGTTGACACCTTTATATATAAATAAAGTCCGGAAGATTATGTAAAAAAAGGCCAGTTTTGTAATTATATATAACTGTAACTATATTTGCTCATGTAATGAAGAATTTTAATAATTAAAAGGATTGGATATCGCACTAAGTACCGACTCTTACTAGCTCTTGTTTCCTTTCTTGTTTTGTAATATTATAATATCATGCTTATCATGCTATGTAAGTATAATATATATAATTTTAACATTTGTAAAATTGCAAAAAAATTAATCAGTGCTTTGATTGATCGATATTTTGACTTTTTAATTATGACTTATATAAGGCTCTTGGACACTCTAACAACATTATGCTCATTGACAATTTTGATTTACTTATCAAACGATTAATTATAGCAGCAAAAGTTTAATGCCATTGTCTTTCCAAATATTTTTAAGTCTCACAAAACAGGCTTAAAGTGACTAAAATGACCAATGGTCAAACGATTAATTATATATATCTGTTTTAACCTGCAATGCAATAGGTAATTTTTGACATTTTTTTAATATGGTGATATTATATTACGTTATTTGTATACCAATATTTATATAATGTATTGTACTATACAGTAATGGGAGAAAGTTCCGTAACGGTCAAATATCTTGGAAAATAATGATTATGGAAGAAAATGTTTAATACAAAAGTTTTAGTATATCAAGTGATCTATTATATGGTTATATTGAAATGATCTTCATGTGACCTTGAAGGATACCGTGAAGGTCAACTTTGAAATCTTAAATAGAAACTCCTATTTTCTATTACATATTCTTAAAGCTGTCAAGGCGTTTCCGAAACACTGATTACAAACCTTTTTGCTTGAGATCTTCCTGAGTTACGAACCTTCAAAGTTTAAGTATCGCCGGCGCGTTATCTAAAGTGTACCGCATGGAGGAGGCACGGTCGGATATCACATGAAGGTCATTTCAATAGAACCATATAATAGATCACTTGATGTACTAAAAGTTTTGTATTGAACATTTTCTTCCATAATCATTATTTTCCAAGATATTTGACCGTTACGGAACTTTCTCCCATCACTGTATATTTATGATACGAAAAAAAACCCACACGTGGAACAAATTTCGTATGTGCTTCATCATGTTGTAATTACTCGTTATTATTCTCAATTATCCAAGGAATGATAAATGAAATTTGTTCCACGTGTGGGTTTTTTTTCGTATCATAAATATATAGTACATACAATACATTGTAAATATTGGCATACAAATAACGTAAATGTAATATAATATCACCATATTAAAAAAACGTCAAAAATTTTCTATTGCGGTGCAGATTAAAACAAATATAATTAATCGTTTGACCATTGGTCATTTTAGTCACTTTAAGCCTGTTTTGTGAAACTTAAAAATATTTGGAAAGACAATGGCATTAAACTTTTGTTGCATGTACTTTTGGATGGTTAAACGGTTTATTAAAAAAATATTTTTGTTTCTTTGTCTAATCAAATACTTGGCAACTTGTATGATCTCATATTTGTTTTTGGACAATTTTTATTTGTTAAAATAAATATTTTTGATTTAATTATATATTTAATTATATGATTTAATTATATGATTTTATTATATTTTTGATTTAAGAAAGATGTAACGTATGATACTTTTTTATATACTTTGCGAAAATTTGTTTTTTTTTTTTCAAAAAAGTTTTTGTTCGTTATCTATTTCCTCAAATTATATTTAAAATTATTCCCACGCAACGTTACTAGTTGTTGGAATATTAATTTTAAAAAACCGCGCTTTTAATATATTAATAAATAGCGACAAGCG